TCAGAGTTGTGACCACTAGTACCACGTCGTACGGACCACTGGCCACTATCTTGGAGTCGAAGCACACTTCTTGGAGCGACGACGCCATAGTGGTTATGGCCCAAGAGCATCATCGTTTACCTGAGCAGCTTCCAGATGTCCTAGTTCGTGTTACCGCTGCAGGATATCATGGAGTTTGGGCGCCAGCCACCCCGAGTGAGGGAGGCGGCTCTCACGGCGGCGTCGCCGTGCTGGCGCCCGAGAGGATTCAAGTGACGGCGCCGCCTTTGCTGCCCAGCGGCCTCATCAGCCCAGGGCGCGTGTTGGCAGGACACATTCACACTTGTTGCAAGAAAGGGTCAATGGCGATCTCGGCTTATCTTCACACGTCGGAGGAGTTCAGCCTTGCCAATGTCAGCTTGCTGACTGAGATCGCTGCCTACGTCAACCGCATCCACAGCCTTGGCTACGAGTGGGTCATAGGAGGCGATTACCAGATGCACCCAAATCAGATCTCTGCGTGGAGTGCTGGAATAGGAGGTGTGGTTCCGGCAGAAGCAGGCCCAACGTGTACTCAATCTATTATTGGTACTAAGATAGATTTCTTCGTAGTCAGCACCAATCTCGCCATCAGGACCAAGGTTCCCTTGGTGTGCGATGACATTGATACCTCGCCGCATAAGCCAGTGGCGATGGAGATAGGCGGGCCTAAGACAGTCTTATGGTGCCGAGTTCCCAAGCAGCCGAAACGATTTCCGACTGTTGCCAAGCCTGGTTGTGGTCGATACCACAGGCTTTGGCCAGATTTTCATGCGCGTCTGCCGCAGGCTGCGAGTGCTGATGATTTGCGTGAATTCCGGGACACTCTCCTTCACGGGGTGGAAGCAGACTTGCGCGATAGACACGATGTGGTCGGGGACGCCGTTCATCAATATGCTGGGCATGGTGGTCCGCATGAGATGCACTGGCAGCGGTTGCAGTTCACCCCTAGACATCGACTTCCTCAGAGGAGCTCCGAGCAGGCGGCTTGGAGTACAGCGGCCAGGTGGGCCCGTCACCTGCGAAGTGTCGACGCAGTGCTTCAAAATTATCTTCCTCGTCTCGCGTTGGATGATGGAGATCAAGAGCGACGGTTTCAGCGCGCAGCTCGTGCGCCCTATGAGGTGGAGAGGTTATGCCAGAGGATCTGCTCCCACGGCTGGGTCTTCGCGCACCTCGACGCCCTCGCGGCGGGATTCTTCAGGGCGGGCACCGACGTCCTGGGCGACCCGTCCTTCGCGGACCTTGTGAAAAGGATCCTGGACAGGGCCGCGCTCCACGAGGCAGCCATTCTTGCGATGAAAAATGAGGAGTGGCAGTCTTGGGTTAGGTCTTCTTTTCTGGGCGGGGCTCGAGCAGCTCACCGCTACTCGAAAACCAAGGCGGTCCAGGAAGTCCTAGGAGCCACGGAGCGGGTCCAACCCTATGAGCTGTCTGATGAGTGTCTGTCGGATTGGGGTTCGATTTGGGCCACCCACAATTGCAGAGCTCCTGAGCTTCCTGGTGATTTTTCGTCTTGGGAGCCCCTGCCAGACATCACAGTGCCAGCGCTGCGTGCAGCGATAGGTCAGTTCGCCGAACGAACGGCGGTAGGGTTTGTCTCAATGCATCCTCGGTCGCGGATGTACCTACCTTTCGGACGAGGCCCTTGGGGCCGTTGCGTCATTGCTGCATCAGCGCGAGCAGGTAGGAGCGTGGCCTTCGCGAAGGCTTGTCTCGAAGCTGATCAGGCTGCCGAAGCCTGACGGGGGCCATCGCCTGGTTGCTCTTTTAGATTCGTTGACAAGGATCTGGTCCAGGGTCCGTAGGCCTGTTTCTGAGCGCTGGGAGCGCGATAATCGGACGGAGGAGTTCTGGGGTGGCGGGCTTGGGAGGGGCGCGAGCGATTCAGCGTTTGATTAAAACCCTTCTGCTGAAATTGCCAGGGCCAACGGTTGGCACTGGAAAAGCGTCCTTCTCGATATGGCCAAGTGCTACAAAATATTTAGGTTGTCAGTTCTCTTCGATATCTACAGGGATGTAGGTTTCCCTTTGAAGTTAGGTTGGATGTTGATCCAATCGTATATCGCGCCCAGGTGTATAGAAACTCATGGATTGATGTCTGAGTTCTATATCTCCGACCAGGGGATCCTGGCTGGTTGTAGCCACGCTTGTGCCAACATGTTAGCTGTTATGTTGAACCCAGTCAGGCAGACCATTTCCAGATTTCCGCCCATCAACGCGAGGGTTTTGATGGACGACGTTTCTCTCCAGTGGCAGGGTCCAAACGTTCAACATGCCGAGCTTGTGCTCGCTGCCGGTCCGAGACCTGCGCCGTCGCCTCACCCCGATCGGTCTCCTGCTGCAGCCGAATAAGTCTGGATTCCTGGCCCACTCGATCGCTGCCGAAAAGAACACCAGTCTTTGGGCGCGACGGCTGGGGTTTAAAAGCAAGGCTCACTTCCGAAACTTGGGCCATGCTCTGTACGGTAGGAAGGTCCTCCGCAGTGTGGAGGCCGGTCGCCGCCGAAAGCTCTTGGAGCGCCGGGTGAAGAGCTCAAGGTTCTGAAGAAAACGGCTGGGCCCAAAGAGGCCGCGCTCTGGCGCGCGGGGCTCATGCCCAGCGGGGGCCACGGAGCCCCAGTCGCGGGAGTAGGAGACACCACACCTCGGGGCCCGAGGGCGCTAGCTGCGGAGCTGATGGGTGCTAAAGGTCGCGTTCATGTCACCGCTTATCTTAGCACCCATAGCGGCGTTAGCTACGATCCCATAGTGGATGCTACAGTGCCGCTGGTTGTCCGATATTGCTGCTGGGTCTGGGATCGTAGAGCGAATGATTCCGACTTGCACAAGGCTTGGCAGTTTGCTTACGACACGCTTTCAGCGGAATCGTCGTGGGCCCAGTTCCGAGGTCCCATCGGGGCCGTCATTTTGAGCCTCCGTTGAATCCGCTGGGACCTTCTGGGCCCGCACTTTATTCGCTCCGACCTCGGCGAAACCTTTTCTCTGCTTTCGGTCTCACCTCATGACATTCGCAGACTGTTGCTCGAAGGTTTAAACCGAGTGCAAATGCTGCAGCTGTTGTCGGCCATCCCAGAAGCCGCGGGCTCCGAGGTTGTTTGGGGTCGAGCGCTTCGGCTTGGAGTGCTCTCGGTGCGAAATCACGTGCGCGGGGGCACCTTGAGGGCCCTGTTCGGGGGAGGGCTCTGGCCGCCCGCTCGTAAGTTTTTACACGGCTACGCCGGCTCCGACAAGTGCCAATTTTGTAAGCAGAAGCCTGGTACGTTCGGTCACCAATGGTTTGATTGTGACAGCGTCTGGACCCAAGAGGAGCAGGATCCAGATGTTGCGCCGCCGCAGCCGGATGACCTGATGGAGCATCGTCAGTGGTTGAAGGACTCAGCGAAAGGACGTCCGCCCGATTTCGATTCGCTCGAGCTCACGTACGGTCTCCCTTCGATTCCGATTGAGCTGAGTTCGGTCCCCACTGCGTTGCCAGTGTCTTCTTGGGGTGCAACTCATTTAAGTTGGGGGGCGAAGGATTTATACCGACGGGTCTGGCCGTGCCAACGGGGTCCCCGAAGGCACCCGCTGCGGGTGGGCCGCCGTGGCACTCTCGGCCCAAGGTTGGCCGATTCGGGCCCGCTATGGGGGCCTCGCGGGGAGGTGCCAGACGGTCCCGAGGTCCGAAAGGCAGGCCATTCTCGAGGCGCTCCGAGTGGCCCCGTGGGGAGCAGAGATCGTCTCAGATCGTCTGTCCGCGGTTCGCGAGGGCTCCGGGTGGGCTGACAGACTACAGAGAGGATCGAGCCGTCACGCCACCATCTGGCGTGACATTTTTAAGCTCTATCAGGATCGGCCTGAGAGGCCGACCTTTCGCTGGACCCCAGCCCATGGAGATCTTGATGATGTGCTGGCCGCTGAGCCTGGTGGGGAGTCGGGGGGCGTGTCTCGTGTGTTTGATCTCCTTGGGAATGCCTGGGCGGACTGCTTCGCGAATTTGGGATCAGCCCAGATCTGTCTCGTTGACGTTGCCGTGGAGGCGCTCAAGGAGCGCCTGAAACAAACTAAGCGGACGTTTGATTGCATATCCAGGGCGGCCCAGTTGGTGGCCAGCAGCAGTGTGGTCGAACCTCGGGTCGCCCAGAGGCCGAAAAACCCTACGGCCCCACTCGTTCTGCTTTCTCACGACTTCGAGCAGGTCCCTGACGGGTCGGCCCGCTGCACATGGTGTCACTGCTCGGCGAGGACAACCATGGCTCGTGCTCGGTTGGAGCGGCCTGGCGCGCGGTGCGAGCCGACGGCCTCACATCTCTTTTTGTCGGCGGTCAGAACGGAGAGGCTCGGTGGCGCCCTGCCGAGGGCGCGTTCGAGTGCCGTCCGATTGGCCTTGTCGGCGCTCGGGCTTCATGATGAGTCGTCGTCGTCGTCGTCGCCTCCGACCCGAGCGCCTGACGTGTTCGAGTGTCAAGAACACCAGGTGCAGCCCGCGGGGCGCTACCTCGTTTGCAGGCGCTGCGGAGCCCACGCGCTGATCGAGCAGCCAGCCTTCCGCTCGCTGCTGCAGCCCTGTCGGGGCGCTCCCACCGCGGGCCAACTCCGGTTCCGCGACGAAGTCCTGGCTGGGCGCGAGCCTCGCTAGCTGTGGGACTGGTGGTGCGGCCGTGCTGAGCTCGGCAGCGCCGTCGGTCCTGTGGCCAGGAGGCTCGTTTCCTTTTCGGGTCGTGGAGCCGCAGCTCAAGGCCTTTCAGGGCGGCTGCCGCCGCCCACTTGCCCGCCAGCCCTCATTCGACTCGGATGATGCGCCTCGGCCTGATCCCTGATCCCTCCTCCCCCTCCTCCTCCTCCTCCTCCTCCTCCTCCTCCTCCTCCTCCTCCTCCTCCTCCTCCTCCTCCTCCTCCTCCTCCTCCTCCCTCCTCCTCCTCCTCCTCCTCCTCCTCCTCCTCCTCCTCCTCCTCCTCCTCCTCCTCCTCCTCCTCCCCATCTGGGCCCGCGGCCGATCCTCGGCGTGGCACTGGGCCTCTGCGAAGCCATTGAACTCCAGGCTGACCTTACTGTGTTCGCTGCCGCACTTTGCGGCGCTGCACGCGACCTTGTCCTCTCTGTCGCGGAAGGTGAACGGGCACATCCGCACCTGAAAGACGCACAAGCTCGCCGGGGAGTACTGAGACACATTCACCATATGGATCGCACCGACATTGTAGCAGACGTCGATGTCCCCATGCAGCCCTGCCAACTTGGTAGCATGCTCGTATAGCATCTGATTGCGACGCAGCTGGCCCACGGTGAGGTCCTCCTGGTATATCCTCTCGGGCGCTCTGTAGAGGGGGGGGGTCGAATCATGCCCCGAGGCATTGCGCGGACGAGGGGGGGGGCCAGGGAACGCGCTGAAATAAGAGGAGGAAGAAGAGATGGCCACGAAATCTGGTAGACAGCCTGGCCCCAGCCATGAGATCCACACGTCCGTGGTCCTCACCCCCCTCTTGGACGCCCCCGATCCTCGTGACCTTCGCGAACCCCTGCTCGGCATCGTCGAGGTCGTCGTCGTCATCGTCGTCGTCGTCGAACTCGGCGTGCCTTCCGACGTCGACTCCGACCGAGGAGATCCCCGTGGAGAAGGACGTAAAGTGCCGAAAGATCCCTCCTGTCGTGCTGCGGGTCGTGAAATTCGACTGGGTGCTGTCGAACCCTCTTGCGCGAGAGCGAAAGAACTTTGAGCTCGTTGGCGGGACGCCAGCTTCACCATACCTCATTGAAACGAAGAATGGCATTGACACACAAATTCGGAGGTCCGCGCGGACCTACGGGTTTGTATGTTTTTGTCATTTCTCGCTCCCCTAACACCTCCCCGCCAGTCTCGCGAAACCCGCGAAAGTCCACATCCTCTCCAACAGCCGGTCGCTTGCCACCACGTCCAGGTCAGCCAGGTGCACCTCGCACTCCCCACCCACGCCTGGGTTCAGGGACGCGAAGACTGCGAAGGAGATGCTCCCGCTTGTCCTCCGCCCCGTCGCCCGCGCGGCCTCCAGGCCTGAGGGGCAACGGTGGGGGGGGACTGGCATAGGGGGAGATGCATCGACCAGGAATCGGCGGTACATCGCCGATAGATCGGCGACAGGCCTCCGATCGCGAATCCGCACCTTCCTGGACAGGTTGGGGCTATCGGGCCCCTATCGGCGATCCCTGGGCGATTGGGGGTCGATGCATCCCCCCTGGTGCCTATCCCCCCCTATCGTTGCCCCCGAAGGCCAACGCTCGCGGGGGTCCCCAGCCGCACCGGCTGCACCACGCGGACCACCTCCGGTGGTGCCCCGTGCAGCATGTCCCTGATGTCCTCGCCCGGTAGCGGCGTGTTGCGGAAGTCGCTGAGCTTGTCCGGGCTGGTGAGCACGAAGCCGTCGACCGAAAGGGCGAGCAGGCAGGCCCTCTGACGGCCCTCCTTCTCCATGCCGGCTCCAAAAGACGGGCTGTGCTCCAGGATGCCCGTGGCCTGCCTGCTTGCGCCAGCGAAGCTCAGCGGCGTGACGAACTCCTGCCCTCCCAGCACGTGGGCGTCCCCGCACACGCCCTTGATCCGCCAAAGTCCGTGCGGAGTTAATCGGGCGCGTGACCTTGCTCCCCCCGCTCCAGCCCAGGACCTATAGTTTGAAGGGGGCTGGAAGGCCCAGCCAAAAGCTTCGCCTCAGGCGCAGCCAAGCTCCCGCTCTGTTGTACCGTAGTAACGATAGTCCCAGTATGAGGGGAGATGCAATCTCAAGCAATAAGAAGATCCTTTTGGTCTCGATAGCGATTGTGTGCCTCGCAGTGAGGCACAGTCAAATTTGGGCGGCCGGCCGCTTGGGCCGACGCGGCCGCGGGCGCACGCTCGCTTCCACTCCTTACGTCCCTCAGCTCGCTTTAGAGCCGGTGGGGGAAAGGAGACGAAGCGTGAGCCCGCTGCCCCTATACAGCAGGCGCAGCAGCTAACCTACGCAAGGACAGGAAAGGAAGCGGGCCCAAAGGAAGGTGGACCCGCTAGCAAGTTGCCTCGCATGTGTATGACATCCTTATCAGGCGGCGTCAGAACTTGGTGTCTGGCCGGCCCGATATGGAATATGTCTTTTCAGGTCATTTTCGAAGCTCTGTATACCTCCCATGACTTGTAGGAGCATTTCTCTGTCAATGCTCCCCTTGCTGTGGCCATCCGCAATCAGATCGCGGGTATCACACCACTGAATGCTGTGCACGATTCCACCCTCCATCATCTGTCGTATCCAACTGATGTGTCCTAAGAGGGTACACTCAGTCGGCTTCTTCAAGTCTTTGCTTGAAAAGGACTTAAAAACAGACTCAGCACCGATGGTCAAAGTGACCTTGATGCTCAGGCCACCCAACTCAAGTATATGTTTCAACTGAGTGGGCGTGAGCGGCCCGGCGTGGAGCCCGTGCAGAGTCACAATCGTGGGATAACAGTCCTCCAAATTATGGGCTGCTGCCAGTGTCTCTGCTGAATAGCTCGAGCGGACCAGCAAGCGGTGAGACTTGCAGTGCGCATCAATCAAGTGAACGACGGGCTTACCAGATACCGTGTTTCCACGTCGTAGCAGGTTTGCCCCGCGAATACCACAGCCTTTGACGTCGTCGTCGGCGTCTCCACTCAGGCGTCGATACCCCGAGTCGTTATGTAAGTCGACCTCGCCCGTGGGGTTCATCGCCTGGTAGACGATCTTCTTCGGGCAGGCCTGTAACTTTCTGGTGATCGCGCTCAGTCGTCGTACTTGAATGTTGGGAGGTTCTTGGACACGTTGTAGAGATGCAACATACACCATGAACCACACCTGGGTGATCAGTGCTCATGCCAGCGCACCCCTGAGACTGACGAGCACGTCTGCCACCATCTTGGTTGCTTGAGCGTCAGCGTCAGCGCCGGTTAGTTCGGGATGTCGTATAGGACGGAGCTGTTGATATATTCATCTTGATTCAAAATAACATTGCCGTCCTCGTCCTTGGTGTATCTCACAGCACAGTTGGTATATGTGTGATTGCTGAGTTTCCACTTGCCGAAATTATCTTCGACGCAATTGACATATTTGCCAATGGTGTCCTCAATGCCGGCCATATTAATGTCATCAACGTGCTTGGCCGTGAGCAAGTTATTGCTCGTCCCGAACTCCTCGTCGTAAGACGTGGGTCGGAGGCCAAATCCTCGGGTGGTTCCTCTGAGCTTAAGTGGGAAAGCCCGTGGACCTTCCTTAGTGCCTGTGCCTGGTTTCAAGCACTGTAGGCAGTGCTTTGACTCGTCGTAGTTCTCGAATCCTGGAAGAGTACGGAGCACAGTGGCCGATCCAGGCGGCAAAGTAAAACACACCTCAAGTTCCTTTTCACCAGTAGCCTCAGCAAGTTCCTGATAGGTCAACCCCTCCAGGAAAGCCATGTTGATGTCGAGGGAAGCAATGATCCACTTCTTCTTGCACGATGCCGTGCTAGCGAGTAACCTCTGGCTCGGCCGTCCTGCTGTTCCCGAAAATGTTTCTACGCCGAAAGCTTCGAGGTCCATGAAGCCTCGGAGTACCAAGCGTAGTCGGATGGTACGTTCCATCTCGCCCTTCTCGTTCTTCACGAATTTCCATGTGCACACGTACCTCGAAGTCATGATGTTCGACGCTTTGGCTATCTCCTGCATCTTAAAGCATTTGTTATCGAACCATGTCTCGAGCTCAGTCAAGAGGGCCTTCGATACTCTATCGGGATTTGCCTGATGTCAGCTTTAGCGAAGAGGTCGTCTTCCTTGACGACCGCGGCTCGCTTTGCAGCGGCGGTGACATATACTCGCATAGTGGTCACCCGGTCGGCATCTAATGTCACGCGTTGCTGCTCGGACAAGACTACCTTCGACATTTCTGTTGCAAAGCATAGTTCAACGCATTGGCCATTTTCGTCTGAGTCGAGTCCGTAGCTGTCATCTTCGACCATGGTGCACAAGGGGGCGTCGTACGTCTCCTCGGTATCGGAGACGCGAGTGCGTCCCCACTTCGGTAGGTGTCCCCACTGTTCATCAGCTACAGTGATCAGCACGCTCTGATCTGGAACCATCTGTGTGGGCATGGTAAAGAGGTCCTCTGGTGGAGTTGCCTCCAACAGTTCTCTTTCCCTTTGCTATTCCGAGCACCACACCTCCATAACATGCGACTCCAGATCAGCTTCTGATTCCTCGTAAATCGTAGAGAGCCGTCCGTCATCATGTGCTGGTTCAGCTTCTGACGCTTCTCTTGCGGGTCCTTCCGGTGTCGGCGCATCAGCCAGTCCCTCAAATTCTGACATGTCCTGATCGAAGTCTGCTTGGGCTTAGTGGACTTCAGGCATTGGATGATTCGTGAATGTGCTGATCCAATTATATCATGTATATTCAGAGGAGTACCTCCTGCTTCGTAGTACTGAAATCCTGAAGTCACGTCGTTTTCGCAATGAACCAATGTGCAGCTGTCGGCATAAGTAACCGGAGGTAGCTCATGGATACTCTTGGCTAATCTGACCGAAACTACATTCTCAATGCGAAAGAAGTTTCGGATAAGATTTTGTAGGGCCAAATGTATCTTAAGAGACAGACGACTTGCAGTCGTCAGCTGAAGCGTACCTTTCTGGGCCGGCACATAGCCAAACTTCAGAGCAGGTCTCCCCGCTGACAGGCTGGCTACGAATGTCAACACTGTGCGTAGTGCAGTGCTGTCGGAGCCAATTTCTCGGGCTATGAGTGCTTCAATGTATAATGAATGCGATGCATCGCCGCATTGTACTTGAACATCTCGATTGCCCACTCGGATGATGACCTGATTCCCTTTCGGGATCTACGACTGGGAACGGGCCATTCCAGCCTCCCCAGTCATCCTTCGCGGTCGTAGGGCGATGGTAGTCGACCAAGTCTCCCTCGTCATGATAGTGCTGACCGGTAATTTCTGTCTTAGTGCGTAAGGCACGATTGGTCTTAGCTACTGCCGTGGCCTGTGCGATAGCTTCAATACATACCCTGCGTATCGTCTGTTCTCCATCGGCTGCTCGTGGTCCAGAACAGGGAGGTCAGGGAGCATTGCTGGTTGCCGTCCGAATAAAGCGTTGCATGGAGACACTTCGCTATAGAAGGTGAATGCGTCGGCGGCGAACAAGGCTTCGTGCAGTAGTCGAGTGAACACAAGGTATGTCTAACCTGTTGAGTTCAGCTTCCATGGCGTGAAGTAAATGGCGCAGGATGCCATTTATGGCCTCGATCGTTGTAGCGCGCTGTCCACGCGCACGTATTCTAACTTCAGCGCCTTTTGCCTTGAGGACTGCTTTCGCAATGTCGTTGTTAAGGGCACCTTCTCCATCGGAGTAAAGTACCTTGGCCGGTCCAGACTGCATCCAGTGATATGCATCCAGGATGGTGGTCATAGTCTTGTCTGGTATTTCAATCCCAGTAGCATATCGTATACAGCGACCGATAAGGTGGAATATATTGTGTTCTTGTTTGTAGAACATCAAATCGCATTCCACTTCCTCATTGAATTTGCCAGGTAATGCAGTGGAGGGCATACAGTGTGTCCAGGCTTGTCCCAAGCTCTGCATTCTCGGCATGTGTCGCAGACGCCTTTGATGAGGTTGAGTCTAACGTTGTCCAGACCTATTTTGCTTAAGATGAGTCTCCTCTTAGGCTCCTTCGCATGGAACCAGCGTAAGTGTAGCTTTCGCAACTCGCGCGTTACCACGCTGGGGTCAAGGCTTCGCAGGTTTTGTAGACTGATTTGTACATCGAACCGTGACCAGTCTGGTAATCGTCGTCGTGCAGCAGGGTTCCCCGCTGGTGGTGGTGGAGGTGCTTCTCCACCTTGTTGTCGGCCACGTCTGACTCTAACCTGTGGCAGTCGGAGATGGCCATCCGAACTGCCAGCTCCGCTCGAGGCAGGTTGCCCTGCAGCAGGCTCAGCAGCAGGTCTTCCAACAGTAATGTCGTGACTGCTTTCGCCCGCGGTGGGTCCAGCTCTCGAGCCGGGCCTCGGTGCTCTCAGTCGCGTAAGTGATGGTGGTGCTGGCGCCTCGAGCGGTGGCGCTGCTACTTCAGCAGGATCTGGAAGTGCAGGCCCCGCTGCCGGCTCGGCGGGAAACGGCGGTATCTGTCCGTGATTGTCGGGCATTTTCCACGGCTTGGCAAATTTGCATTTGCCAGGTGTTGGTACGTGCCCAGGTTTGTTATTCCCGTAATTCTTCTTACAACTCGGACACTCCCAATGGTAGTCGTCCTTATCGTACCACCTGCAGTGTATCGGGTCTCTATCATGAGAGGGAGGATGCATGTTAATGTTGTCCGCGCAAGCAAGACAACCAAACCCTCCCGATGGTGGTCTCGCAATCGAGCCATCAAGTTGTGGGGGAAGACTCGGGTCGTCCAAATCGCATCCCCTTGCGTTGGTGACCACCGCGGTGGACGAATGCGGGTAGCCATGGAAAAGATCACGAGTTGCCTGGAAGAAATCGTGTGCGATCTGAACAGATTCGACACGGAGTGACTGCATCTTTGATGTATATTGCGCAGCCACGAACAGTTCCTTATTTAATACT